ACAAAACATTGCCCAAATGGAAGTAACACTTCGAACCGATACCCTTGCGGCCAGAAATTGCTACAGTGAAGGTTGGTTTAGCATCAGAACGTAGTGCCAGGATGCGCAACCCACCCGTCAAGGACCTGTTCTGGAAAAATCCTAGAAGCTCCTCCCAAATGCGCAGGTAGACAAACTGGACTCAACTCGAGCTCCCACCGGTCTGTTTCGTGTAGGTCTTGAAAGTCCTTACTTCTCCTGTGGTTTTATTTACTGATCCTGCCCTGCCACCCCCACAAAGGGGGGGTCGGCGGCACAGGGCGCTAGCCCATTCTATATTGAATCACATCAAAGAGGTCAGGAGTCATGATCTAACAAGCTGCCAACGATTTTTCACAAAGTGGTCAGTTTACATAGAATAGAAATCTGTGACACAACAAGATCTTGCAACATGTGAGTTGGTTTCAAGCTCTCAACTCAAGGCCAAACCTCTTCCAAGATCTTCCGAGATTTTCCAAGATTCGCAGTTGGGGAATTCCGACTGCCGGGATGCCGAGCACGAGTCCCTCCTGTGTCTCTTCAAACAGAGATGCCACTGATGTCAGTGTTGCTCTCGTCTCTGATGCCGAGACCTTCAAGACACCCGTCTTCGAAAGTCATGATGTGTTGTGGCCACCCCAAATCCCAAAAGTGTTAGAACATGTCAGAACCAAACTGCAGAACTTTGCCAAGTCACTCCGAGGGCAATGATCAAAGCTTCTTTGCACATCCTTTGGATCAGCATCCGCTGACGCCCAGCAATATCGACCAACAAACCATTCCTGACACTTCTCAAATCTACTGGCGCACCAAAATCAAGCAAAATCTATTGAAATAATTGAAATATCCGTTGTTTCAAAAAGGAATGGCGAAAACGTACTTCGAGATCATCCAGGGCTCAAATGTGCACCAGCAGTTGAAGCAGCTTCACCCCAAGCATCGACGACAGCTTGTGCTGACATCCTGAACTGGAAACAAACAGAGAAGCGGTGTGTATCATCCAGCATCTCGTTGACTTAATTGTGCCATCCAGGTCCAGAACAGTCAGAACAGTCAGAACAATCAGAACAGTCAGAACAGTCAGAGCTCAGTATGGCAATTGACAAATCCATTATGGCAATCGGACTGCGAGGCTTATCAAAACTGGCGTGAGTTGGAACATATCAAAGATTGCCACTCCGTTTGATATCAACACGCAAGCGGCGTGGAAACAACTCATAGACTTATCGAAGGAAGTCTAGAAGTCAAACTTCCGACGATATGGGCAGAACAGAAGAGAAGAGAAGAGAAGAGAAGAGGAGAGGCGAGGAGAGGCGAGGAGAGGCGAGGAGAGGCGAGGAGAGGCGAGGAGAGGCGAGGAGAGGCGAGGAGAGGCGAGGAGAGGCGGGAAGGCGAGGAGAGGCGAGGAGAGGCGAGAGAGGCGAGAGGCTAGAGGCGAGTGAGAGGCGAGGAGAGGCGAAGGCGAGGAGAGGCGAGGAGAGGCGAGAGGCGAGACGCGAGAGGCGAGAGGCGAGAGGCGAGAGGCGAGGCGAGAGGAGAGGAGTGGCGAGGCGAGGCGAGAGGAGAGGCGAGGCGAGGCGAGGCGAGAGGAGTTGCGAGAGGAGAGGAGGGGAAAGGAGAGGAGAGGAGAGGCGAGAGGAGAGGCGAGAGGAGAGGCGAGAGGAGAGGAGAAGAGAGGCGAGAGGAGAGGAGAAGAGAGGCGAGAGGAGAGGAGAGGAGAGGAGAGAGGAGAGGAGAGGAGAGGAGAGGAGAGGAGAGATGAGAAGAGAGGAGAAGAGAAAAGAGAAGAGAAGAGAAGAGAAAAGAGAAGAGAGAAGAGAAAAGAGAAGAGAAAAGAGAAAAGAGAAGAGAAAATTGAAGAAGAGAAGAGAAAATTGAAGAAGAGAAGAGAAAATTGAAGAAGAGAAGAGAAAATTGAAGAAGAGAAGAGAAATTTGAAGAAGAGAAGAGAAAATTGAAGAAGAGAAGAGAAAATTGAAGAAGAGAAGAGAAAATTGAAGAAGAGAAGAGAAAATTGAAGAAGAGAAAAGAGAAGAGAAGAGAAAATTGAAGAAGAGAAAAGAGAAGAAGAGAAGAAGAGAAGAAGAGAAGAAGAAGAAGGGAAGAAGAGAAGAAGAGAAGAAGAGAAGAAGAGAAGAAGAGAAGAAGGAAGAAGAAAGAAGATCAAAAAAGAGAAAGTCTAAGAAGAAAGAAGACCCAGGTGCGCGAAAAGGTAGGAAACTTGCGAAACACTGCGTTTTCCCCATGATTTGTAGCTCCGGAGGGTCGAAAAGTAGGCTCGCTAGACCGGTGGGTGCGGAGCCATGTGGTCAGATGAGAGATGAAAAATTGCACGCCGTTGTGGCGCGAAGCACATTTCCAA